GCTAACCTTAGAAAAAGAAATTCATAGAAAGCTTCTGTGGTTGATCCAAGTGTATCTGCAGTCTATGTACATGAAGACTGCTATTTAAGCTTGACCTTGATCTTAATGATCTTAAGTTTGTCCTGACTGAGTTATCGACATATGTAACGGGTGCTTGGAGAGCGTGAGTAAGCATATCATGCTTACTAGGCATTGGTACTCATCGATTGTATCCGGTTGATTGTTCCTCACACCCAAACTTACAAAGCGTTACTGTAGTTTGGAAAAGGACATTTTTATTTCATGTTTATTCCGAACTAATGCCCTTGAAAAAAGCTTTTAATTCAGTGCCTGTTGGCATAAACCGAATCTTTGTCTTTCCTGTCTGATTTCTGATCAGAATGTTTCGCTCTCTACCTGTTCTTCTTCATCTTCATTTTTCTCCTCCTTTTCCTTTACCTGTTCTTCTACTTCCTCGTCACTCCTCGTTTTCGTTCTTTTCCTAGCGTTTTCTCCACTTTTTCGTTTTTACTTGTTAATGTTCCACCGTTTTTAGTAATCATGTCGCTTTCATCATCTTCCGTTTCATTGCCCACTTTTTTCCACTTCTTATTCGTGTTCTTTCTTTTGCTCTTCTGTTTTGCCTTTGGCGTGTTTTTCCTCTTCCTCTTTCCTCCATTTCTTCTTTCTGCTTTTTCATTCTCCAGTTGTTCAGCTTCCTTTTCCATTTGTATTTATTGTTCTCCTTATTGTTTTTCATCCTCAGTTTTTTTGGCTATATTCATACCTACGTTTTCTTCTTTCCTCCTTCCTCTTCTCTTTTTCTTTTTTTTTTAAATTTTTTCTTTTAATCTTATCAGTTTGCACCGAATTGTTTTGACTTCTCCGAAGAGGACTCAGAAAATTTTTTCTACATATCTTTCTACTAGCAACCCCTTTCGGGAGAGGATTTCTTTTCTCTCGTACATTAAACGCAGTGACCGCACTGCGTAGCACTTGTAAAAATGCAAAAAGCGTGATTTAATTTGCACGAAGTTGAATGTGGTGCGATTTTTTTGCCAGATGGCAGTCTGACAAACTTTGAGGTCAGATTTAACCATATCTGATTTTGTTGTGAACCAGACACATTCACATTCCTTAGCACTTCCTTAGCTTATTGGGAAAATTTGGAACAAGCCAGTTTTTAGTGAGCGTTTGACAGCGTGCCAATGAGGTTTGCAGGGAAATTATTCCATTATGGTAATTTCGCAAGAATTATAGAGGAAAGGTCGAATTCACTCTGATTGATGTAATCGCTTTACTTTTTATCATGAGCTGAACAAGACATCAAGATTATTCAGTGATACCTTTCCTTACGGTCACCGAACTATTTGAATAAAAATATAACAGTTAAACTTATATGTAGTAAATAATTGTTGTATTATGGAAATTTTCTACCTCTTCTGTTTAGATATCACCCGCGACTGGTCAGACCATGCTTTATGGTGGCCCAAGAAGTTCAGATGGTTGACGCATACCAGGTCGACTCTTGATCAGTAAGATTTTGGATTTTATGAGTAATCGTTTCAAACATCTTTTCTGTTATTTAATCTGTTGTAAGTCGCATTTTACCTTTTTGTGATAAGTCTTTCTTTGCTGCAAGTTTTGCATATGCGGTACTCTGTTTTATCATTAGTTTCGTGCGATCTGTGATCTGAAATCCTCTATCATATTGAAATGGCGTCTGTTTCAGACCTCATCACAGCAACAACAATGGTAACTGCGCTACAATCACGGGTAACCTTGTTTCTCGGCGCCGTAATGACCTTCGCTGTCTGTGCGATGTAAAGGAAAAAGTTAAATTTTTCAGTACCTTAACGGACCCTTAATCGAGTTGTCTACTTGTCAGAAAAGATCTGTTTACCATTTGACCTAAGTGTTTCACTTTCTGAAATAGCGTATGAAGTTTGAATCATCTGCGTAAATTCTAGTGCAGAAATGTCTATGTTAATAAGCTATTCGTTGGCTACAAGGTTACAAGTTCTATAGTGTTGTTTTTCATTATGGTACTGGACTGGATTTTGTATCTTAGATTATATTGTCTATTCTGTATCATCAGTATATATTGCATCAGTCTTGCATAACATCTCTGTATTCATTGAATCGGTGATAAAATAAGATATTAATTATTCTTAAATTATGTTATTCATAACGGAATATTTTTAGATATGGTGTGACGGCCGATGCATTGTTGTACTTCACGCCAATGCATAAAAGTGCTCGCGTGGAACTGCCGGACATGCAGATCATAAACGCACGGCTGGACTTCAGCTTGCCGATGTTCAGTGCCGTCATCCACCTGTGCAAGGAACTAGGTAAGGCATTGGCGTCGCTTACGCTAGGTATAAAATTACGGTGGAGGTTGATTTACAGGTATCAGGCATCCGGAAGAACTATCGTTGAAGAGATATATCGACTTCAGTAAAAGCGGTCAGAGCAGCTCTACTTCAGCTGAGCGCAAGCGCACTTCTCGTTCGCCGGAGGCCAGGAAGGAAGCTCCCCACTCTCAGTCCGCTTACAATATATCTGAGTCAAAAGGAGACAAGAACAACATGGACAGCAAAACGGCGGCGAATTCGCTGGAGATGAGCGACGGCGTCTTGACTACTCGTGCTGGCTCCCTTCCTCCGACCCCTCATCACACTAGTGTAATTATGGCTATTAAGTTTTAATTATTGCCTTCTCTGTGAAACTACAAACGAAGACACTATATAGACTATGAAAGAATCATACAGCATAATACCAATATTTCTTTCATATTTTTAAATTATCTCTGGTAATGATGACCGGAGATTAGTGACAGATCTTTAAAATCGAGTCTTTCCCTCCTTCTCTATCGCATTGTCTAGAGGGTACAATTTGAATATTTCTCATTGGCCCTGACCACATGTTTGAATCATTGCAGCTGTAACCTACCAGTTTATAGGAGTGAGAGTATGCAGAGTTGCTTTATTTCTAAATGGCGTCGTCAAACGTGGCATTCTTTGGAAAGAAAAACCTTATTTTGGCTGCTTGTATCCGCTTTTGCTCTCTTCATCAGTATCCAACACTTATTGCCATAGAGTCGGCGGATGCGTTGGGAGATTTGCAACAGGAGCTTAACATTGTTGATTAGCGAATTCTTCGTCCGCAGATCCATTTAACTCTTGCTGCCTGACCTATTCATGTACTGATAACGTTTGAACTTGTCGTTTACTGTCTTTTCGCTAGAGTGATATGGTGCTGATTACGGATCTGCGCATTGATGCTATTATATAAGGTTTTTCTTTAGGAGGAACCATTCATTACAACACCGTATGTTTTAAGCTGTTCGACTCCAACCGAGAACGGCGGCACTTTGAATTACAAAGATAGCACGTTGTCCCGTTCACAGCGTCTCGTCACGTCTGGCTTTGATTCGAGCGTCATGAACGACTCATTCGATCCTGTTTTCGTTAACAGTCCCTCAGTTCATCATTCAGTGATAAAGACTTCTTTATTTCGGCCGAAATCCTACGCCCAGAAGTGTTGTTTGAACCAGGGATGGTTGGATTCTAGTCGATCACTGATGGAACAGGGAATCGTTGAGAACCAGCTGCTTCTGTTGCGGTTCAAATACTTGACATTTTTCGACATTAACGCTAAGGTAAGTTCCTCATTGCTTAATGTGATGAAGTAAGGAAGCTGTCTTGTGATTCGTTGGACATAATTATTTTACAGTATGATCCAGTGCGTATCAACCAGCTCTATGAACAAGCTAGATGGGCAGTGCTGTTAGAGGAAGTAGACTCAACTGAAGAGGAGGCTTACATGTTCGCTGCTTTACAGGTAAAGAAAGTGACTGGTCCATCGTTCAATATTCAAAGATAATGCGGTTTTCCCTATGTATAGCTACAAGTTCAATTACGAGCCGAAATGAAACAGGAAGAGGAAACGGCAAGCAACGTCGATGACGTCGATCGAATGCTCAACGAGTTGGAGAACACGTTGAAAATCAGTTCCGTCTATCGGAATCATAATGACCTCACATCTGTGCCTGAGTTAGCTGATTATCTGAGGTTCATGAGGTAAAGGAGAAAATATTTTTTCTGTTTTCTGTATAATGCTCGTCTTTGCTTTGGGTGCAGTTTGAATTTTTAAGAGGATGCTCTGCTTAGGATTAGATCCTTTGTTTAAGAGGATCCTCTTCTAACGTATAAGAATGTTCTTATCTTATTCAGCGGTTGTCGATATGACTGACGGCTTTTTCGAGTTGTTTATCGTGGACGCAGACAGAACTCCCGGTGCAGCTGACTATATCTGTTAAATCAAGGTTACTCGACTATGAGCTACTCACTGAAAGAACAAAGGATGAACTGGTCCACTGTAAAAACCAAAAAAACCAACGTGGTAGCCACTCAAGAGTGTAATGAAGCGAAGAATGTGTAAGCACTCTCCAGGAGCATGTTTTCAGTGCATAAATTCGATAATCGACTGAACCACCGATGAATTCACTTCCCTCAACGACGCCGAGATGAGAGATTATGCATCATAAATTTAATGACTCTGTCGAAGATTGCTAAATGAACACCATGAAATGACAAATATCTCCTGGATCGTCCCTCTGAAATGATCCGATGGTTAAATTTCTT